TATTTTATGACCGCACGAGTCTCCGTCTTCTCCATTTTTGACAAAGCATGTGCACACTGACTATCTGCTAAGCTGTCGTGGCAAAACTTTATGACAAATCAAGTGGAAATTGGTATCGTATCTTTAGCAAGGATGACTGAATTATTCCCGCCAAAAATTAAATTGATGGTAGTGCCGCATATAGGCAAGGCAGCGAACTTTTCGAACAGCCCTCATACGAATCCGCATTATATGAACCTATACTATATATAATACGGACTGATGAGGGGCATATAGCCTGAAATGCATTTCCTTTAAAAAATAGGAAATAAAATTACTTTTTTCATCAATGAAAATGTTCCTTTATGATAAGCACATAATTGCTATGGAGAACTTAATTTCAAAGAAGAAACATTTTTTTTAGAAAGCAGCATTATGACCCTATTTTCTATTATATTTATGGTGGTAACCAAAATGGTGATTTTTGTTATTTTTTAACTGTTACTATCTGGTATAAGCATCCTCATAGGGCAAAGCTGTGGGTAGACAGCTAATGATAAATAGAATAAGTTTTTTTTTACATTTATTACTTTTAAAATACACTTCTAATAATAATGAAAATAACATAAGGTTATTTAATTTTAATGTGACAAATGTGCGCAATTTTCTTTGCACAACTTTGTAAAATTTGGTTGGTTTTTGGTCAGCTTCAGTCTCAAATCATCTTCGAGTTGAAGTCGGTGACAATGTTTAGTTTTCATGTTTCTTATGGCCGAAAATCCGCTCTCGCAGAGGTATGTTTTGCAAAATGGTACTAAATATTTTATTGTTGCTTCGCTGACATGATAATAATGTTAATTGTATAATTTTTGTTTCTTGCGTAAGAATTTAGGTATTATCACAAATGCATTTTTTTTAAAATGAAATTTAGAGAATATTTTTAATTATAAATAAACGAATTTATGCATTCCACATCATGTTGAAAATTGCCGAATTTTTGATGGTCCACCCATTATTTTTTTGATTGCTTCATCTCATGCATTTAAATTTTAAATCGACCGATTTTAGATTGCCGCGCGTATTCCTTCATGCAATTTTGCGCACCCCCAGGGATACGCGTACCACTAATTGGAAACAATTGATATAGAGCAAAGATTCCCAACCTCTTTCGGGTGGCGACCCCTTTTTATAAAAGCCAATTGACCCGCGACCCCGATACAAGGCATTGAAAAAAGGCATTAAGGTAATTAAAAAAACAACGAAATTAGTTTTTTAATATAATTTTATTTTAAATTATGTTTAATAATTTAACCATCCGTAAGTCGCTAGGAATGGGGCCCTTACTTGAGTCGCATGGGTCTTACAGACCCAGTGTTTTTAATATGAAATAATTCAATTTTACCTATCGCCATTCTCAACATTTAATTTATTCCTCTCAAAACTCTCAACACATGTTTCAACCAACTGTGACAGAATAGCATACCCAGATTACACTTATTTTAATTTTTAAAAAATATATGAAATTATTTAAACTTCAAGACACCATTAAAAATAAATACTGTATTGCATTATAGTGAAATTTTTTTTAGTTTACTGCATAAGTTGGCGACCTCACAAAAAATCCGTCGCCACCCATAGGTTGGGAACCCGTGATACAAACGATAGATTTATTTAGTTTTAAAATGCAAAATTAGAGAAGAAATTTGGATATACTTCTTAAAATTTTCTATATTCACATGCATTTTTGCATTACACAAACTCCAAATAGGAGCTCAGAGCAAACATTTTTATAAATTAACTAGCTTATTTGTCGCGCATTGCTGCCATCTCAGAAGAAACGAAATTCAACCAAACTCGTTATGATAAAATTCAATTTACATTTTATCATTTTTATTGAAACTTATTATTATTATTCATTTTCATCGGGAAAACATTTCAAAGTGTCGTTTCAATTCTATTTATTTATTGGAGTGCTTGTGGATACACGATATTTTTTGTTTTTCCGTCTGGTGCGTACACGAATAAATCGGAAGGTTTTCCGACGCGTGAGCCGGCCACATACAGTTGTCCATGCGAGAAGCACGGATTCTCCAAATTTAGCCCACACACTCGCAGCGATTGTCAGAAGTGCGATATTCCCCATTTATATATATATTTTTTAATCCTTTATAATTTTAATTATTTAATTGCTCCTTCCTCTCTTCCTTGGCATGTTGTGAAATTTCTGATAGTTGGATAATAAACCGTTTTATTGTAATTTGTCTTTTTAAATTATTTTGAGTCGATATTAAAATTTGGAAAAGGGGGATACCTAGATCGGTAAAATACGCGAATTTCTTCCTACAACTTCGGTTGTTGTTCGGGGTACAGTTAAGGTTTTAACGAAGTTCGAGCGAATACATAATTAGCAAAAAAAAAAGTTGAAATAAAGTGATTAAACAAAAATTATTACAAATATCGTAAATAACAGTTCACAAATGCATATATAGAAATATTTTTTGAAGGGGGGAAATGGTCTTCACAATTTGAAATCGATCGAACACACAGTGCTCGAATGCTCGTGTAAACGCGCGCCATCTATCGTAGGATAAATGCCCGAAACCTTCGCGGGAGTGTATTAAACAACTTCCCAAAGTTTTACGGTAATCGGATAAACGGTGTGGTAATGTATGAAAGACAAACAGACACACACACATACATTCATTTTTATATACTGTATATAGATTAAAAAGGAATCAGATTGGAGTTAGTGTTCAGTTCCAATGAAGAAAAAATTCGAATTACACGAGTTCGGATGAACGAGAATCTACTGTATTATATTGATTTATATTGCATACTAGCAGACCCCGCCACGCGTTGTTGTGGCTCAAAATGTATCTCTTATAAATGTATAACACTTCCCCCGTGGGGAGGGGGAAATTTTTCGAAAAATTTCTTCTTTGTGTACATTCTGTTGACGTACCCTATTAAAACGCAATCAAAAACGCAAAAACCCGCATTTAAAATAATATAATAGAAGCCAAGTTCTTCACGGTAAGCTTTAATTCTGTTCCTCTCCCCCGCGGGGCAATATCGAAAAATCCCTACTTAGTGTACATTCTGTTGACGTACCCTATTAAAACGCAATCAAAAACGCAAAAACCCGCATCTAAAATAGTATAAATAGAAGCAGAGTTCTTTACCGTAAGCCTTAATAGTCGTATTTTGCCATTCTGTACGGTTATTCCCAGCATATGACCGTTGACATATGACTACCAGACCCCGAATCGGGCCGCCATCTTTGAAGCGAATTGAACGCGCTTCCGCCATGACACTTAAAAGGCATAAAGCTGCGCACCTGCTGGATGTACAGTACATAATACAGATATGACCGTTTATTACATAAATATACAATTGTTATCACACGATGCTTTTGCTAAACTGTGTGTTTTAACTCAAACTGTGTTAGTCCTAAAACATCAGTCCTAACAAAGTGCTAACACAGAAAACCACCGTTGTGCCCTAGCGCCTACGTCCTAACGTGAAAATCTGTTTTTTCTGGATTGTCGAAATACTGATAATTTTTTTTGATATGTGGAGCAACGCTATTAAGGGAAAACTCTGTTAATTTTAGGGAAATTTCAGATGTGTTCAGAGGGTTTAAAAAAAGCCACAAAAACAAAACATAGTGGGAAAAACAATGTTTAATACTTGGTACAGGATTCGTCACCTTCCCAATTCATTACCAAACGATTATTGATGCTAATGTCTGAAATTCCATTTAATCGATGCAAGATGTGTGATTACCAGAGCCCCTTCGGCCGCCAATTTAAAACCTTTTAATCTTTAAAATTGGCGTTTCCACTTCCCGGGACGAGGATCCAGGGATTGGATTTGTGGAAAGCTTATGTTCGGGTTGTTTCATTGTGTCGAATTACGAACGAGGCACTTGACGTGTAAGTGCGTGAGTGCGAGAATTCGAGTAAAGGTTAAACGGTGTATATCTTCGTGCACAGTAGTGTTATGTCCGTGCGTGTGTGTGTATGTGTGTGATCGAAAAACATCTTCGGCATGTCTATAAACAGAAAGCAGTAAATTACGATACGAGAATAAGATGTGTTAAGAAATGAAACGAAAGAGTTCTTACCATCGGAAAATATTCACTTGTACGATAAATGGCCACTTGGTTCTCTTCGTGGTAAAGTTGGGGACGGAGATTCTTCTCCCTCCCAAATATTCCTACAAAACACAAAGACAGTGAGAAAACGAGAAGTTTATTCATTTATTACTTAAGGTCAAGATTATTACCTTAATCAGACAGCTTTCTTCCCGAACAGTGATATAAGAAAAGCGAAGGACCTGACCTAGCCTAGGCTAACCTAACGAACCCTAACCGGAAGCTCAATCCTCATAACAGCTGTTTGGGAAGAAAGGTCGGCCGAATGTCGCGTCCGGTGAAGAAACGTGTCAAGTCCGTGGGTCACGTCCGGGTAAAAGAGGTCACGTCCGTTAAAAGATGTCATGTCCGGGTGAAAAGTGTCGAATCCGGTAAGAAAGTCGCATTCGGTGAAGAAGAGGAAATCGAAGAAGATCACCGCCTAGGCCAAGGCAACCGCAGCCGTCCGCAGCAACAAAACCACGACAGCACGGTCCCTCGACTTCGGCGGTGGCGTCGCCGTCGAGGACGAACGGGCAGAACGCGACCAAACAGAAAGTGTCAGCTCGGACGAGCTGTCACTTTCAACATCCTCCACAGCAAGGTCTGTGGCCGGATGACCCCCCGAAGACCTCGGCCAAGCGCACTGGACCCAGAGTGTAGCGTCGCATCTTCCCGACTCCGGGAGAATGCCACGCCACGCGTACTTGGCTAAGGTCTTCTTCACCCGTTGCCTGTCGCTCGTCGAACACCCGCTCCTCCAATGGCACGGAACGACAGACTCGTTCCGCGTCGTCCGAGAAACTCTCTCCCTCCGGCGCCACCGCCGGAACCGCCTCCAACAACGCACCAACGTCTTCATCCTGTAAAAAAGAAAATTTGCAATTAGTCCATTGAAAACAAAAGCTTACATTAATGCTTAAATTCTTCCGAGTAAAAGCAAATTGCTCACCGCAGCCGCCTTTTTAAATCTAAAAGATTCGAATCCAATGCGCAAACGGTCGACCATCGAACGATGTGCCGAGATGTCTTCTGGGACCGATTCTCCAAGTAATATTAAATAAATTCTTACGTCTAGGATCAATACGGACTAAGATTTACCTAAAAAATCTTCAATCTTCTCTGTAAAAGTCTTTAAATCGCAAAAAAACAACACGCAATCGAAGAGCGAAAGAAAAGCACGTCCGATCACAACGAGAAACACAATCGAACTGCGATTCGTCATGTGTGACGTATTTCGAACAAACGTTAAAAAACGCGTCAACAATGTTCGAATTTCGTAAAAATTAGAATTTTTAAAAAAAATAAATTTTTAAAATTTTTTTCAATTAATTAATTTATAATTATTTTTCTTTTTTAAATTTGATAAATAAATTATCTTCTGCATTTACATGGTGCAGAATGTCGACCGTGGAGAGGTAAAAGACGATCTTTTTAAATTCTACGTCTCGAGGCTTGACCATCTCCGAAATTCGTTCGAATAAATATCTTTTTCGTCCATTTTCGACCATGGCATGAAATAAATCAAATTCTTAGGATTTCGCCCAATATTATTTTGCTTTTCGGAAGGATTCCTCGGTCGCCGTCGGGGTTGCGGGTTTCGCGTAGGCCTATTAATCAAACTGGATAAAGTTAATATTAAAAATACCGAAAAACCTTTATAATACGGCCGAACGAAAATTAAGTCCGAGACAACGGGGAAATCGACACAGAGGATAAACAGACTGAGCTAGGGGGAAACGATCATTCTTTCTCCTTGAATTTCTGACTTTTTAAAGGATCTCTCCCCTAAATTCTTAATGTGATCGCTTAATCAATTTGACACGTCCGCAAGTGTTGATCCAACTTTGAAACTTTCGCCCGTATCTCTCGTTCCATGATGTTTTATTTCCTGACCGCTGAGATTTTTTTTTACTTACAACGCGACAATTTTGCTTTGGGAGGAATGCTACATTTATTTCCTAATTTAGTCATTGTCGTACGTCCGCATGTCTTAACCTCGAGAACGGAATTATATAAAATCCGAGACCAGATGTGGAAACTTTAGAGAAGGGAGACCCCAACTGACTATATACGATCTTCCGATTCAAACCGAAAGTGTCGTTTTTTTCAATTCGAAACGTCAGTTAACAGATGACTATTGTTAACGGAACAGTGTGACGTACAGGGGCAAGCCACTACTAGCTTGAGATATTTTGAATTAAATGATTTCAAAATATGATTAAGAATTGCAGTCCGGCATTGTGACTATGTCACAATAGACGATTGCTCGTAGTTATCGTTTGTTTGTGAAAATATTTACGATAAAAACTAAATTTTGATCTTTGTCGTGTTATGAAGCAGAATATCGAAGTTAAAATCCTTCTGAAAGGTAAAAAGGAGTTAATAATTGAAAAAAAAGGCATTTTCCCATCAAAATTTACATGCCAGTAAGTGCAAGGACTGATATGTAGAAACTACACCATTAAGATGTGTACAAATTGTGCACTATATCCATCATTGTGGATAACAAAAGTATATTAAGACGAACTAACCTTTTGTTCGTTATGTTGGAGACACTGAAGCCATGAGCGCGAATAGGGACCAATCCGAAATAGGCGAAATAAAGAGAACTGTTTTAATCTCGGTCTCTGTTAATTATCCATAATTAAGAAAGACGTGATAGATATCACTAGTCTGACAATTGGAAGAGGAAACCTTCACTTATAACTTTTTATATGCTCTTCAGCCTGACAAAATAGAATCTGTTTCCTCGAAGTTAACTACGAAGGCTTTGTACATTTCTAATCTTTCAAGTTGTTTCGGCCGAAGCACTATTTTCTCTCGATGGCGTTCTTTTCATTTCTAAGGAGTGAGGAAATTGTAGGATTCCTCTAAACGCCTACAATTTCCTCACTCCTTACAATCCTGTGCTTACTACATCGGGCTATCTCCTTACAGATAGAACAGAGGGTCTTGTGTTGTGTTATGATAGAACATTCGCAAAGGATAGATATCTACAAACTGTTCGGGATAAGGACGGCATGAAAATAGTCCACTTATATGTTACTGTAGGCCTATTATCGTACAATTTAGCAAAATCGCTGCAGAGGAAAAATTCCCGTCAACTTTGATGTTATAAGCAATGACGTAACGAAACGATAACGTCACCTATAAAAAACTGACATTATTCAACAATTAAAATGCAAATACACAGTAAGTTACATAGGTGTACAGTGGGCTTTTGCATGAAATATCTTGCCTTCCGATTCAGTTATTTAAAATCACGTAAATGATAAGAATTACTTAATGTGATAATTTCTGCAAGGAACATAAAAAATGTACAGATAAATTTAAAATTTGTAGATTAACTAGTCATGGGAAATAGATGGTGCCACATATCCTTAAATTTATATCTGTACATTTGGAAAATGAAAATTTGATGGTAGCACTCTTGGTTATATTTGCGGTACCACTGTTTACAGAAGCAATATGCAAATAAAAGAAGAAAATAATAAAATGTTTGACTGAGAATGTATAAAACTAGTATATGCCTACTTTGTATAGTTAAAAATATAGTTTTTTCAATAAAACAAAGAGAACCAAAGCAACGTTAATTGCAGTACATTTCAAAGGCCTTTAATTCTAAAAATGTGCTTGAAGAATACCATAATTGTAGACATGTTGTCTCATATTATGTGTTAAATTGGGAAAAGTATTCATTGTTTCATTTTTTATAACGTATAAATTCCCACTGCCGCCCGTCTTTAGAAAAGAGTTAGGCAGATGAAATCCAAGACAAGATATGGAAACCTTAAGGGCAGGAGGCCCGATTAACTATATAACAACTTCCGAAAGTTACTTTACGTCAATTCAAAACTTTTCCGCCGAAAGGTGTTAGACAGACGACTCTATTGTTAAAGGAAAAGTATGATGTACTGTACAGGGGCAAATCACTACTAATTTCAGGTGAAGAGCATAAATTTTGAATTAAATTAATTAAAAATATGATTAAAAATTGCAGCCCGACATTGTGACGATGTCACAATAAATAATTGCTCGTTTTGTAGCTATAAATTATCATCATCATGATCCATCCTACTTACAGCAAAATTCATCCGTAGTTTCTTCATACGAAATATGAATTAATACAAAAATAATTACAGTTATAAGCAGCAGAAACTTCATGCTTGGAGTTAATTAAACCAATTTAATTAAAGTACTAAAAAATTTATCCATAATAGGAAACGTGATAACAGGAAAAAGATTTTATGAAAAGCGACCTTTACAAAATTATTCTTAATTTAAAATATCAACGCTAGAAATATATACAGTGGTGCCTCAGTGCACGAACTACTCCCAACTCGACAAACGAGAAATGAGCTCATTGCAAATATCTCAAACTTTTAAAAGTAATCGACACAGCTGTGACACCAAAGGGACTTTCGTACGTCTTCGAATTTCTTCCAATAACAAAGATAAATGTAGAAAAAAAATAAACGAATTGCTACGTTACATCTTTAGGTACAAAGAAATTTTAAAAATCGGTTATATCTAACAAATTTATTTATTTTTTCAACTGATGATCTGGAAACTGTGGGGATTCTTCTGACTGTACCTTTCGTCAAGTCTTTTTCTTTGTATAAAGTTTCAATTAACGATGCAGACATCATTATATTGCTGCCATTTCACAAATTAAATCGATTATCCGTGACTATTGATAAGGATAACAGAAAATATACATTTAAAGAAGGAGTTGTTCAGCTGTTGAGTTTATAAGGAAACCACGTGGTAGAAATGAAACTAAATAATTTTCAATACGTGAACATCTATTTGATTGGACGTTATTGTCAAAATATTCGCCTTCTTGAGCTCTTTTCTATACGCCATTTATATTTCAAGAACGATTCAGAAGATGACTCGTTCTTGATTTTTAATTCGTTAGAGAAAATAACCATTAAAAATCTTCGCAACGATCCATGGAACGAATGCTTGTATCTATTCTTCAGCAACTATTAGAAATTGACTGATCTAATATTGACTTTTGTGTCCCGTTTAACTGATGATTCGATTTCCAGAATTCTATTATTTTTTAAAAGAATTAAAACGGTTACTATATATCATTGCGAAAACGTTTCCGATTCAATATTTCTTTGGAACGACTTTATTGCTAACAGGAAAAGTATGATGTACAGGGGCAAGATCACCAGTAAAAGAATTGAAAACATTGCGACGAAAAGTTGCAGCCCAGCATCATGACGATATCACAATAAATAGTCGCTGGTTAGAATTAATTTGTTTATTTGGTTACGGCAACTCGACACGTGAGTGATGTGCGAGGAAGGATGCATCCCGGAATGAAGTTTATTTGAAGTTGGCCCCAATTTAAGTGTTACTAACGCGAAGAAAATCCCGAGAACTCTATTTGGCCAGTCCGTTGTTATATCCCGAATCTACGGTCGACTAACTGTGTTCGGTGATTTGGTTCACTCGGTTACTGAAGTATACTTATTGAACTGTAAATTGAAAAAAACTGTAGAGCTATAAATTTCCGGACGTCCGTTCGTGTCTGACCTTCCTTAATTCGAAGAACAGAATTATACAGATGATAGTCGAGATTAGACATGGAAATCGTAACAAAAAAAATCCAGATTACCTATATACGAACTTATAATTTGTACCGCAATTCACGTTATTTCAATAGAAAAAATTTCCCCCAAACGATATTAGATACATAACCGGCACGGCTCTATTCCTAACGGAAAAGGTACGATGTACAGGGGCAAAACACTACTACACTGCACGCAGGCGACTGCTATGTACTATCTGTTTCAGTAATTGCGTATTAGCGCATCTATTTCACGTTAAATTATTGTGGCAGTAATTTGGTGAATATAATATATATTTTATAGAATTATTTCCCATTTGGTAAGAATTATATGTAGTTGATTATTTTGTTAAATTTCTATCAGTAAATGGCGCTACGAGTAATCCAGAAAATAAAATGTAAACAAAAATCAATTGAATTATAGAAATCCAATCGATATTTTGGGGTGAAATGTACGACATGATGTACGTTAGAAGAATTTAAAAGTATGTACCGAGTTCCGTAGCAATTGGTCGAAGGACCGAAAAGTGAAAAACTTATATCCTCATTTATAATCGCACGCGTATTACTTTGTAGTTACCCACCAAAAAAAAAAAAAACCAAAATTGAATTGATCGACATTAGTAATTCTAAGCACGCGCTGCGATTATCATTCCGTGTTGCTTAAACAATAAATATAAAGAATAGTTTTTCGGCGATTGTCGAAGAGAATTAATTGTTCGGAGAAAATTGTTCGGAGAATACGAAAGTTTACGTTATAAAATGAATTCTTTAAGTAAGTTCAATTCTTTTTATCGTATAATTATATTAACTCTTTAATAACGTGTGTCGCAATGAATATAAAGACATTCAATTAACAGTAATTTTCTACGGGATGTTTAGAAATCCCAAAAAAAATCATGTTATACGGTGAAACGATATTTAACTTTGCATTCATTTTCTGCTGGAGATAATTAGAGTATTAAACGTATTTTCTGCAAATGAATAACAACTAATTATTTTATTTCCGCATCATTTCTAATATTTAAATATTCGGTTTCATTAAGACGAATAAAAAGTAGCAAACAAAAATTACAAGAACATATTTACAATAAAATAAGATATTGAAAAATAAGATTAAAATCTCTTGTTAATCTATACTAATATAATAAAGAGGTAATGTTTGTATGTATGTTAGTTAGGATGTAGCGGGTAATCTCCAAAACTACTCATCCGATTTCAAAAATTTTTTCACCAATATTTAGAATGGAACTTCAGGATGGACATAGGCTGTATATTATTCCGTTAAACATGGGGGATGGACAGTTCTTTACGGTAAGCCTTCCCCGTAAGGCTTACCGTAAAGAACTCTGCTTCTATTTATACTATTTTAAATGCGGTTTTTTNTCAAGAGAATGTACACTAAGAAAAAATTTTTTGAAAAATTTCCCCCTCCCCACGGGGGAAGTGTTATACATTTATAATAGATACATTTTGAGCCACAACAAGGCTTGGCGGGGTCTGCTAGTTTAAAATAATCTGATAAAAAGTTGTCGCAACTGTAATATAAACGAACGCTTGATTATTTACATTTTTGAAGTTAATCTACAAAGTGAAAATTTAAAACACATTTTACTCAGACTTTTTATTAAATTCTATTAATTAAAATAAAGTAAGTTTTCGAGTATATTTTAATAAATATCAGTTCATTTACTTCGACTGAAAATAACTCTTCAGTTATATTACATTTTCAGTTGACTTTATGATTGAAACAATTTACACTTTTTACACAATTAATAATGTCAAATCACAATGCAATATTTATGCTGATATATCACGTTTAAATTTAAAAATTTTTAAATAGAAATCAATTGTTTTTTTTTTAATTTTATTTTATGTTTTTATGGGTTTGCTTTAGAATAAAGTTCCAAAATATTTTTTTAAAATAACAATTTCATCTGTTTATTTGGTGTAAACTGTTTGTCATTTGCTTTGTTTCTCTTCCTCAAATTCGTATATAATTTTTGAATTCAGGAGAAGAAAGTTTTACGAATTTCTGTTTATTGCGTTTACTTTTATTGTCTAGATGATAACATTCAAACGACAGTTCATGATAGTGATGAACGTTTAACACCTGATCCAGAAAATAAAATTATGGTAGATACTATTAGAGAGTTAGAAGAACTGAGAGCTCTAGTGGGTCGGGATTCTGTTAGAGACATAGTGTATGCTATGGAAATGAGAGCTTCAGCGGAACGAGACCGCAAAAAACTTGCTGAAGACAAGAGAAAAACACATTCGTCTTCTTCCGTAAGTTACAACTTAATTGAAACTAATTTAATAATTCTATCATTTCAAAATTTAAAACTGAAAAACCCATTTCAACAATCTACAATCTTATGTATTATTAAATAAATATTTTCTAAGTTAATAAAAAAACACTACGAATACTGTAAGATTATCAAATGAGCAATCAGAATTTTTCACTTTTTACAGGCTGCAAATGAAAAACTGAGTTCGAACGAACAACCATCGTCATCAACTGAAAAAGTAAAAGTAATGGATGAAGGTGAGGTCACAAAGAGATTATAAAAAATTTTCCGATTCATAAAATAATTTGTTTAAAAATTATTAAAAAATGATTTAATGTTAAACTCGTCGTGTTAAAATCTCTTTAAATTTAGTAACTTAATATTAATTATACATCTGCAGTCTTTCGGGTGTGTTGCATGTCGTAGTTTATTATATTGGAAACAACTAAAAATAGAAAAAATTAATTTCAAAATGTTTATTTCTAGAAAGATTCCATTTATTTCATCAAAAACACTTTTGATAATGATTTTTGTTACTGCTTAAATAACAACTTTAACGTATATTAAATAAAAATTCACCGAAAACATTATTCAGGTGGAGTGAAATGATCGCAAAAGACACAATGTTGTTAATTTTGACGTAATTCATTGTTTTGCTGTGTACTCATTTCTGATATCAAATTTAATTGACAATTAATTCATCATCCGTCAAAGTATACATCAAGAAATTTCTAATAATCTTTAAATTTTCTGCAATTTTAACACATAAGCAATATAATTAAAGTAATTTAATTTTTCGGCTGCTATAAAAATTTAATCGTGAAACATTTGACTTTTAGTGTTTTTGGAATCGTCGTATTTTGACACATACACACACAAAATAGTGAAAAAAGTAATTCCCGAAATATGTGTGTGACCACGTTTATTACGTTTAATATCTCGGGAAAGTAAACATTATAAACCGAAATCTGCACGGTAACTTGAATATAAGGGAATCGAGGCTATTCAATTTTAATGGTTAAAGGTGGAAGGGGTGAAAAATGGAAGTGGCTCACCCATCACGTCTGGTGGAGAATCGGTCTTTATGAAAATTTTACACGTTACTAGCACTTACAATATTGTATACAACTCATCCGTATTTTTAAAGTAAAACTTTCTCTTGATTCTTTGAGTGTCTGATGCAGACAGATAATATACAAATGTACAATAAACGTTTGTAGAACTGAAAAATGAAGAACTAAATTCGAATTCTTGTCATATGTAATACGAAACTTAAATGTAATTTCTTTTATATAAAGTCGGTGTGATTATTATTATCGAAACTCGTTTATTTAATAGAAGTCGAAGTCGTAATCTGCACCCGTATTCAAGTCCAATTAAAACACAGACAATTCGTGGAACGTACGCAGATTTTTGTATTAATATTTAGTGTATTATATTTTTAATGCTTTAATTCTTTCACAATGAGAGAGATTTGAGTTTAAATTTATTTTCATAGTAATTATATTATATTACCTCACTGTTTACACAATTAATAATGTCAAATCACAATGCAATATTTATGCTGATATATCACGTTTAAATTTAAAAATTTTTAAATAGAAATCAATTGGTTTTTTTAAATTTTATTATATGTTTCTATGGGTTTGCTTTAGAATAAAGTTCCAAAATATTTTTTTAAAATAACAATTTCATCTGTTTATTTGGTGTAAACTGTTTGTCATTTGCTTTGTTTCTCTTCCTCAAATTCGTATATAATTTTTGAATTCAGGAGAAGAAAGTTTTACGAATTTCTGTTTATTGCGTTTACTTTTATTGTCTAGATGATAACATTCAAACGACAGTTCATGATAGTGATGAACGTTTAACACCTGATCCAGAAAATAAAATTATGGTAGATACTATTAGAGAGTTAGAAGAACTGAGAGCTCTAGTGGGTCGGGATTCTGTTAGAGACATAGTGTATGCTATGGAAATGAGAGCTTCAGCGGAACGAGACCGCAAAAAACTTGCTGAAGACAAGAGAAAAACACATTCGTCTTCTTCCGTAAGTTACAACTTAATTGAAACTAATTTAATAATTCTTATCATTTCAAAATTTAAAACTGAAAACTCCATTTCAACAATCTACAATCTTATGTATTATTAAATAAATATTGTCTGAGTTAATAAAAAAAAAACACTACGAATACTGTAAGATTATCAAATGAGCAATCAGAATTTTTCACTTTTTACAGGCTGCAAATGAAAAACTGAGTACGAACGAACAACCATCGTCATCAACTGAAAAAGTAAAAGTAATGGATGAAGGTGAGGTCACAAAGAGATTATAAAAAATTTTCCGATTCATAATATAATTTGTTTATAAGTTATTAAGAAATGATTTAATGTTAAACTCACCGTGTTAAAATATCTTTAAACTTAGTAACTTAATATTAATTAAGTTACTAAATTATGATTTTTGTTACTGCTTACATAACAATTTTAACGCACATTAAATAAAAATTCACCGAGAACATTATTCAGGTGAAGTGAACAAACCAAAGAAATGATCGCAAAAGACACAATGTTAGTTTTGACGTAATTCATTGTTTTGCTGTGTACTCATTTATGATATCAAACTTAATTGACAATTAATTTATCATCTGTCAAAGTTTACGTCAAAAAATTTCTAATAACACTGTTCTGCAAAAAAAAGTTTTTTTTTCTATTTCTGAAAAAATACATTGTGTTCCTAGTTGTACTTCGAGCACTGAATTCAAACCTGTTTTTAGTTTTTTTCTGTCAGGGATAGTTTATGAGTAATCACAATTTTATTTTTTCTTTATGTTTCTGATATAGTGCAGGACACATTAGCTGAAATTCAAGAAAAAAATAGCTTTTTTATGATGTTATTAAGTTCATCACATTAAGGGAGGTTGGGATCTAACATATAACATATACATCTTAGTGTATTCGCTTTGTAGCATTTATTTCACATGAGCAATTACAGAAAATTGACAAAAATGAGCCACCATATAGTAATGCACATCACTTTTTCTCTTGTATTGAGAATCTTTCTTCTCTCAAATGATATTCCAGCAATAATCTGCTAACATAGAAGGTACCCACTTCTCTTCATAACGCCTTTCTATAGTAGAAATGTCTTTATGGAATCTTTTGCCATGTTCATCCGATACGTCACTACAACTCTCTGTGAAGTAGTTCAGATGAGTCTATCATATGTACCTTCAGAGACATATTGCACCCCAGATCTTGGTGTGCTTTGATCATGTCATTCACCATTGCTTTGTAGTTGGTAGCTCTTCTTCCGAGGAAGTTTTCTGATACCATCTTGAAACACTCCCATGCTCTCTTTTCTTTGGCAGTTAAACATGCTTCAAAATTTGCATCTTTCTGCAACTCCTTGATTTGCGGGCCCATACATACACCTTCCTCTATTTTTGCAGCTGAAAGATGGGGAATTTGTCAGCTAGATATGCAAATCCACTGCCTGTTGGATCCATGGCCTTTACGAATTGTTTCATTAGGCCAAGTTTGATGTGAAGCGGTGGAAGTAGTATATCTTCAGGAGCTACCAGACTTTCATGTTGCACATTCTTTTCGTCCACTTTCCACCTCCACTTAGGCCATTTTTTTTACATTTAGTTAGAATTTCTGTCATGACTATCCCACTCGCAAAGAAAACATGCATACTTCGTGTAGCCTTGTTGCATTCCCAATGTCATAGCAATTACTTTGAAGTCTCCACATATTTTCCATTTGTATTCATTGTATTGTAATGAATTTATCATCCTTCATAAGAATTTGTAATTCTCTTTAGTCAAGCTGGCATAAGCAACTGGAACAGAGGGCATTTTATTTCCATTGTGGAGAAAAACACCCTTGAGACTTATTTTCAATGCATCTATGAAAAGTCTCCACTCCTGTGAACTGTAGGTGAAGTTCAGCACCTTCATTAGGCCAGCAACATCATTGTCACGTTCGATTATTACTGCATGCAGCAACATACACATATTTCTCTATAACGTCTGTGTTTGCCATGAACTGTGAATATATACATATATATACACGTTACACAAAAAGTATCCCTGACAACAAAATTCTGTTTCCAGATTTGAATTTCCCATGATAAATTGGTTTAGAATCACACATTTTAATATCAGAAATAGAACCCTTGTCAAACAGTGTATTTAGTGTATCATATATTTTATGCTTTAGTTCTTTCACAATGAGAGAAATTTGAGTTCAAATTTATTTTCATAGTAATTATATTATATTACCTCACTGTTTACACAATGGTACTACTTTCTGACTTCCTCTACAGGTCTGACTTATGCCTTATACATATATATTTCTATATAAACTTATTAGCCGGGTGAAATTTCTTATAATGAATTTGTTTGAATATGGTAATTATGATAAAAATTACGAAAGATAAATTGTTAAATGATTATTTTGCAGAAGCTAATGGGAACAAAGAGACAATGGAAGAGAATAAAGAGATGTCAGCAATTGCAGATGATGATGAAGAAGTAAGAAAATATTTTTTAATATTTTTTACTTTATAAATTTATTGTCATTCTCACTTTAAATAGTGTTTTGGTATATTTAAGATTTTCTTTTTTCTCCTCTGTCTACAATGATTCCGTACATTTTAAATGACAGCACGAAATCATTTTGGTTATAAATTATATGTTCAAAATTAAAAAAAATAATGCATGTAATCAAACTGTAAATATTCAAATATTACTTTAAGAATGGGCAAAGTTATGAAAAGACTAATTAAGATATTTAATTATTGAAGGACTTTGAAATAATCCATTGAATTTGATTAATGTACACTTGTAAATGTTAAGCATTTGAAATCATTTCTCATATTTAACCGTTTTTGATAAAATTTACAGAAGACCACTCGTGTCCTCCTAATTGGAAATTTTTTAACCTTTCTAAAAGATTTAAATATGTCATTTTTCATTATTTCCGATTATTTATTGTAATTAGGCTTGCATTACTTTCGCAGTATTAATTTTAAACCAACATTTTAACATAAACTATGGATAATATAATCTTCATATTTTACTGGTCATATGTAATACGAAACTTANGTTAATTACTTCGGTATGTAAATAAATACACAGAAGAATTCCCATCATTATATCACAATACCTGTATAAAGATAAAACACATTTATAAAAATATAATGTTTTGAAACGTTTGAAAGAATTTATTTTTACTCACATACCTGTGTCTGCAACAGCAAACGATGAATAGCATTTTTACTTAGCGTACTACTTTTATAAACTTTCCATTCTATTGCTTCTGTTATTGATAACACTGTTCCATGACTGCTAAATAAATATGTTCGTATAACTGTCTTTTAAAATTGTTTCATGTTTTTTTCTTTATTTTAATCGTATCTAAAACAAATCCACGTCCTTCTTTATTACAATGCTCTGCTACTGCCGAATTTTCATTATTTTCTTTTATGGCTCTGATATGTTCCTTTATACTTCTTTTGAATTTTCTTTTTGTCACACCTAGGAAACTGTTAAAAATACGTTAGGTATGTATCTTTAATTTATATGTGTATATAAATGAATATGTTTATTCGCTATGCACGCATAGGCCGTTCGACAAATTGCTATGAAACTCGACAGTTCCGTCAACATACTTCTAACTTAGATAATGTCATACATACCACCCCAAAATATTGATTGAATTTCTATATATCAATTGATTTGTGTATACATTCGATTCGGAAACACGACCAACTGCTAGTATTCGGTGGTTTTATCCGGATGTAGATAGTATAAGTCTAAACCAGTGTTTAAGGTACACAATTTTAGTGAATTACTTGGTTAACTGATCTAAATTATGTATGTGTTTCGTGTTCTTCTCTAATACAAAATATTATGGAATTGTAGTCTTGCGACACTGCGAAAGCAACAGCATAAATGGATGTATAGAAAGATTATTTAGTAACTTTATGTAATGTTAACAGTAATATAATTGGATACATTACAAATCACATGTCGCAGTATTGCTTAATCCCTCAAAGTCAATGATTCCCTGCATTTTTGGTATTTTGCAGCTTGAACTGTTATGGGGCCTTTCTGAAACCAGCAACGAAAGATGTTCAAGTTGGGGAATACTGAAAATGTAGTTTGCATACGAAATTAGAAAACTTAAAGCATAAGCTTACTTAGTTTCATAATAGATATGCCACTGCTCTACAATGAGTAATATGATAACGTTTCAATCGTACATATTTGTATTTAAAAAAAATATAAAAATAAAGATTTTAAAAATTTTGGAAATATTTGAATATTTTAGATAAAAATCTTAATTATGTTTATTTCATTTTTACAGAAAACAGAAGTTCGAAACGTTCGCCTCTTGTATATAGTTATTTTGTTGTGAATTACCAATATGTATTTATTTAATTTTCGAGTGCTAACATCTGCAATTAACAACAATCAAGATGGTGGCAAAATTAGTTTAAAAAACAGTTTAAAATTTAAAACTTTCAAAAAAAAGTTTAAAATTTAAAACTTCAAAAAAAAGTTTAAAATTTAAAACTTCAAAAAACAGTTTAAAATTTAAAACTTTCAAAAAAAAGTTTAAAATTTAAAACTTCAAAAAA